ATACCAGGAGCAGCAGATATCAATTCTATGCTGGTATTCAAGAGGTGGTTTGATGCTAATAGAGATGTCAATTGGGATACATTAGTTAAACTTTGTAATAGCTTTCCTGATAAACTGGGCAAAGCAAAATCTAACCTTCTGACATATATAGGTAAGAAAGGTAATGGGAATGTCAATGTTTATATGAGTGTGTGTGTGTGTAAAATATCAGTGATCAAACCGTTTAGCTCCAAATTTTAAATTTCATCAAAATCTTAATTTCTTGTTAAAGTTAATTTTTGTCAATAAAATTTTCGTCATTTTTGTTATTAATCTGCATACTACCCATGTGGAACAAAAATTTTGTTGATTAAAAATTTCGTCAAGCAAAAGTACTTGATGGATTTGACGAAAATTTTGACCGACAAAAATTTGGAGCTATATGGTAGTCATTATAATCTCAATACATTAGGTCAGTCTATACCTGATAAAGTCAATTCACATACTGTACTACCATCACCAGTTGATGATATATCCAATACACCAGTTACTAATATAAGAGGTAATAAATTATTTAATGTGTATATATAGTTTTACATATCTTGATCAATAGGTGAGTCTGATGTAGCTACACCCATTAGTTCAATACCTGATGATGTTCAAGGATATGTTGACAATATGAGACAACACTACAAACACCAACCTATTGTTGCTACAGACTGGCCACCAAGAATTGGAAAAGATTTCTTTGGAAGACTAGCACTAGTAGAAAAACAAGACTCCAGCACACAAGCAGAATCAGCTTGGCATCTGCTAAGAGGACAAGTTGATAAAACAGTTAAACTAACTGAAAACAAAGAGATAAGTGTTGAAGATGTCCTCCAACCCACAGATAGTTCTCTGTCTCTCAGAGTAGTAATAGACGGTCCTCCTGGTATTGGCAAGACCACACTCTGTCGTAAACTTTTAAATATGTGGTCTAATAGACCACTTGTACCCCAACAGTATGACTTGGTACTTTACTGTCCTTTAAGGAATAGCAAGATAGCTACAGCTACTACACTAGCTGACCTGTTTGAGTATAGATGTTATGAAGTTCCCATGGTAGCTGAGTGGTTTGAGAAGAGGAATGGAGAAGGATTACTGATCATCTTTGATGGTTGGGATGAACTAAGTGAACAACTCAGACAGTCTTCATTAGCTGCTAGTATCATTTATCGAAAGCAGTTAAACAAATGTTCAGTAATTGTTACCTCTCGTAGCTATGCCTCCTCTTTACTTTTGAAAATTGATACTCTCAGTAGACATGTTCAGGTCATTGGGTTTTCTGAGGAAGAAATATCAACAGTAATTATACAAACTTTTCAAAAACATGCAAAACTAGCACAAGAACTCATTGATGAAAACACTGAACAAATTCTGCCTGCCTTGTGGCAGTCATCTAAATACAAATCACATTTCACAACGAATCAAAGCAGCAAGGACTCACAACTAGCTGTGCAACTTATTAATGATCTCAAAGTACGAAATGATGTCAAATCATTGTGTTACATACCACTAGTTTGTTCCATGGTCATCTTAGTTTATTCTAAAGAAGGAGGACACTTACCAACAACACTAACTCAACTGTATGAGAACTTTATCCTACAAACTATCAAAAGACATGTTGAAATAAAACTAGAACTTGGCATTAACCCACGTACTTTAGGTAGTCTTTCTTCATTACCATCACAATTAGCTAAACCTTTACAAGAGATGTGTCAGTTAGCTTATACTAACCTGGTTAATACAAGAATGACATTCCCTTCACATCAACTACAGTCACTGAGTGAGGCAGTCAAGGAAGACTATCTTGGATTGATGACAACATTCACAGAATATGATGAGGAGAAGTATCGGTTCCTTCACTTGAGTATACAGGAATTTTTAGCTGCATGGTGGATAGCTAAGCATGAGAAGAAGACAGAGGAAGTATTTAAGAATCACTTTGATGATGATCACTTTCGAATG